CTGGGGGTGCGAGGATGCGGGAATTGGGGTGATCCGGGAGGATCCCGCCCTCCAGGGGGGATGGGAGGCAACCTGGCTCTCCCCCCAGTCACCCCAAAAATAAAAGGGGTGAGGGAACACCCCCGACCCCTATTCCCTGTGATCCCGGCGGGAACAGAGCGGAGCCAGGCGGGGAGAGAGAGACGGGGAGGGGGCGCAGGGGAAGGGGGAACTCAAAGAACTTTTGTTTTTCCTGTAATCTGAAGCAAATGCGTGGCTGCGAGCGGGCGGCCCCGGTACCTGCTGCCATCCCCGGGGTGGGGGGGAAATGAGGGAATTTTGGGGGGGTTGGAGCCTTCTAGACAATGGGGACACCCCTGGGAAAAGCGGCGTCACCCAGGCTGGCCTGGGGGGCTGCGGGGAGGGGGAGCAGGAAACCCCCCCCCCGCAATAAAATAAAATAGAGCAAGACCCCAAAATGTGGTGGGGGCACTGAGGAAATCATTGCAAGGTTAATTATCACTGATAATTAGGGGAGGGTGTTCAGGATTAATGCAAGGGGGGAAATAATTGGGGGGGGGGTCATGGCAAAGGGGCAATTCTGTAATGGGGGAAATCTGGGAAATAATGGGAAAAAGAGGGGGGTCAGGATCATCAAAGTGGGAGGGAAATTATTCCCGGAAGGAAATGTGGAAGGGGAACATCAACAGACAGGGAGAAATTATTGGGGAGGGGGGGAAAAAGTCAGTGATTGGGGTGAATGAATGTCAGGTTTGGGGGTAAATCTGTGCCTGGGTGGGGGCAGAGAGGGAAATCACGGACAGGGAAAATAATTAGGGGATTAATTGGGGGGGGGAGGAGGTCATTGAAAAGGGGGAATTGATTGGGGGAAGAAATCTTTGCCGGGGGAAGTTTTAAGGGTTAAATATTGGGGGAGAATGAGGGGGGAATTGGGGCTTAAATGTGGGGGAGAGGGAAAGTTGTGAAGGGTTAAATATGGGGGGGATATTAGGGATTAAACATCGGGGGAAATGACTGAGGGTTAAATTTGGGGGATCATTACGAGGGGGAGTCAGGGTTAAATATTGGGGGGTTGTGGTGAGGGGAGAAGGATGAAGGGGTTAAATGGGGGGGGATTGCCAGGGCAAAATGATCGAGGGTTAAATATTTGGGGGGGGACAATCAATAGTTAAATATTGGTGGGGGGGCATCGATTAAGTATTGGGGGGACCCTGATATAGGGGAAACAACCAAGGATTAAATCTTGGGGGGGTTGTGGTGAGGGTGGGACGATCAAGGGGTTAAATGGGGGGGGATTTTTGCCAGGAGAAAATGATCGAGGGTTAAATATGGAAATATTGAGGGGGGAAATCGAGGATTAAATATTGGGGGGGCAAATCAAGGATTAGATAAGGGGCGGGGGGGTTGTGGCAAGGGGAGAAGGACCAAGGATT